CATGCTAGATAGGTTACTAGCGGGACAACTAGCAGATACACCCACGTTATGCACGTTAGTGGTGGGACAACTAGCAACTACCCATTCTAGATAGGTTAATGGTGGGACAACTAACAACTACCCACTATAGATAGGTTAATGGTGGGACAGCTAACAACTACCCACTATAGATAGGTTAATGGTGAGACAGCTAACAACTACCCACTATAGATAGGTTAATGGTGGGACAACTAACAACTACCTACTATAGATAGGTTAATGGTGGGACAGCTAACAACTACCCACTATAGATAGGTTAGTGGTGGGACAACTAACAACTACCTACTATAGATAGGTTAATGGTGGGACAACTAACAACTACCCACTATAGATAAGTTAGTGGTGGGATAACTAACAACTACCCACTCTAGATAGGTTAATGGTGGGACAACTAACGAAGGTTCATGTGGGACATCTAACAACTACCCAAACTAGATAAGTTTATGGTGGGACAACTAACAATTACCAATATTTTGTACAATAGTGATGGAACAATTATTGTCCACGTTGTATACACTAATAGTGGGACATCTAATAGATACCCACCTTAGATAAACTAGTGGAGGGATAACTACACATACGTTAGATACAATAGTAGTAGAGCAAATAATACATTCCTGTGTTAAATACACTTGTGGGACAACTAATTCATACCTACAATGAAAATGCAATAAAGTGAGACAGCTAACAAACACCAACGATACATTAGTGATGGCAGTAACTAACACATACGCTCACTGAATACACTAGTGGTGGCAGCTACTTGTAGTACTTAGATCTGATGCCTTAGCACGCCTTACTATGACCCACCTTGTAAACAATAATGGGGGCAGGCATAATTATAACTTATTTATGTGGACACTGATAGTGATTTTTCAACTAATACCTAAATCACTACTCGCCAAAACATCACCAGCTGTGCGGGACAAAAAAAGCATATCAACACAGCCGTCTCTACACTACAAAACTCTAGTCGCCTCGCCGTACTCTACCACGGACTTCGACAGGTACTCGCGTGCAACTCTTTATTTACCAGTCCGATAAATATGCACCCTAGCTGCACCACGTCCGTGTAGGCGACAGCGTAGAGGCCGCCGAAGAGCGTATACCCAACGGCGATGACAGCGGAGATGATGACTGCCATGTCGGGGTCTATATTAAGGATGACTGCGAGCGTGGCACCTGAGGAAGAGAACCAGTCCAGGTCACCCAGACACAGAGAAGGCTGTACATAGATACAGCCATAGGGAAGGCTGGACTGGATGCAGGTGCAGCCACAGGGAAGGCTGCACTGGATGATGGTGCAGCCACAGGGAAGGCTGGACTTGATGATGGTGCAGCCACAGGGAAGGCTGCACTGGATACTGGTAACACCACAGAAGGAGGCTGGACGTGTCAGGTACAGCCACGTGGGAGGGAGGCTGAACATATACAGCCACCAGAAACACATGATGTTGGGCCGTGGACACAGGTACAGCCACAGACGAGGCTCAACGTGTTACATGTATAGCCACAGGGGAGGCTGAACGTGTCCCTTGTATAGCCACAGGAGAGGCTTGACGATGGCTCCACCAAGCACACACATGGGGTTGAGCGGTGGATACAGCCTATGGTAATAGTTTACATGTTCTGTCTTTTCATTTGTCTCTTGATTAGTTTTCTAATGGCCTACATGTCTATCTCCACGTTTACCTATCTACTTTCATAACTTCTCTATTCATGCATCAGTCTTTTTTCTTTCTTCTGTATTTATGTATTGTCTTACAATAAATCTATTTAGCTTAATTTTTTTCACCTAATTTATTATGTATCTATTAGTTTGTCCAGTTTATATCTATCTAAATTCTCTCCGCCTTCGTCTGCTACACAACAGGATGTCATCATCACTTTCACCCATCTCGGAAAACTCAACATATCGAGAAAGATTGCTAAACTGTAGGGAAGAAAGGTTATTAAGCTGTAGGGAAGAAAAGTTATTAAGCTGTAAGGAAGAAAGGTTGTTAAGCTGCAAGAGAGAAAGTTTGTCAAGCTGTAGGAGAAACAAGCAGAGACATGTTAGTGCAAGTCGAGCCAAGAGGTACCGAGTAGGACTCCTCGGGGAGGACATCTGCGAGTAAACAAATTGATGCAATGAAAATAGAATTGTAAACATAGCATACTGCGAAAGAAATGACGTAAACATAAAAAAAGAATTAAGTTTCTTGAGTGCAACAATTTTCTTTACTCAGTTATAATTCTTGCATTCGTCTCTGAAAAGGCTCTTCGGGAGAGTGTGTAGGTGACTCCCCTGCTACTGGAGTGTGTAGGTGACTCCCCTGCTACTGGAGTGTGTAGGTGACTCCCCTGCTACTGAAGAGTGTGTGTAGGTGACTCCCTTGCTACTGGAGAGTGTGTGTAGGTGACTCCCTTGCTACTAGAGGGTGTGTAGGTGACTCCCTTGCTACTGGAGAGTGTGTGTAGGTGACTCTCTTGCTACTGGAGAGTGTGTGTAGGTGACTCCCTTGCTGCTGGAGGGTATGTAGGTGACTTCCTTGGTACTCGAGGCCAGGAAAGAGCTGACTTGACGTTGAAGAACTCTTGATTCAGAGAACTGGAACTACCCTCGCCTTTCTCGGATCAAACATGATTACTCCCGTCCTCCCATTCCCAATGAGCTGTCTGTCCGGCTGTTAATATTAAAAAATATCCATTCCAACCCATATGAGCTGGTCAGCATGAAGGCATCTTTGTTACTGTGAGCTGACTTATTATCTCTTGAGACAAATAAACCGATGAAAGATTTAGAGGGGTAAGCGGGTATCTGTCAGGGAAAATGGGTACCTGTCAGGGAGAAGTCGGTATCTGTCAGGGTTGAGCGATCAGTAACATTCTTCATAAACTTCCTGTAAAATGTAGGTACATTTATTACATGATATGAACCTTGATAACTGATACTGGCTAAATGGTTTTTAAAAGACTCGTGAACAAACACCAGGACATATTTATTAGAAAACGTTTCGATCCTTGAACCTTGATCACTTCTAACACACAGAGATAGAAAATAACTATACTTCCAGTAGAATGGAAGCGAGGTGTGAGTGACATGAAGTAATTTAATGAAAATGAGAATGATTTTTTTTTTGAGATGGCGTCAGGTTGCCCATGAAACCAAGTGATTCCTGTGTTATGTGGCAGGTTGGGCTTAGTTTGGTTGAGTATCATGTAGGCAGTGTTTTTTTTAATTTTTGTAGCTTCCAGCATTATGTTCTACGGTGTCGGTGACAGTGAGGCTTCTAGGCACCGTCGGCGTCTAAGATCATGCTCAGTGAGGACGAGTTGTGTCTCATTCCAACTCATCAAATGTCTCGTGGAGTTTATGTGGAAGACACAAGCGTGAACATCGATGTGCCTGTTGCAGGTACGTCGATGTTCACTTAATCGAACAGATTGATTTCTGTTTGTTTATCCTACATATTTCTTGGAACAGTCTTCACAGGGTATGATGTAGACGCCTGCTGTGGAAGTTAGAGATGTGGGACTTCGCTTCGATGGAAGACGTATTCAAGGTGGAAACATTGATATTACCTCTAGGAAGTACCTGGCAGGTTTTAGCAACATCACCATACGGGAGCACTATGAAATGTTTGGAGGAATGTTTTGTGGGGAATTTTTTTTAGGATAGCTTGTGTCTTAAGCCTGCAGTCCCAGGTGAAGAAATACGGAAATTGAGGGAGCGTTAATGTTTGAGTTATGTAGGTATGTTCTTCTTCAGAAAAACAAGGGCTGGAGATGCGAATAGCTCTTAGGAAGACAACACTAAGGAAACCTATTTTAGTGCGAGTGTTATGGTGTGCATAGAAATGTATAAGATCATCGTTGTTAGTAAGTTTTCTATACACTTTGAAGAGAAGGCTCATGTAATAACCTTTTCGTATGACTAAAGAAAACCCTATTAAAATTAGTGGCATTGCCATACACATAGTTGTTCGTAAAAGACTACGATGGTATGAGCCGTAATGAGCCCCTTTTTCCATAGCCGGCATAAGCCATATTGAATGAATTCTTCCTCAAGGAGTCTGTCACATCAAGATTGTCCAGTCTAAACGTAGAAAGAAATAGGACCAAGTACTCCCAGGCATGAAATAAGGACTACTCGGTAAGTTCTGCTTGTCTCTACTTTTTTACTTAAATATTTTGGTGGTGTTTCCGTGAGGAACACTTGACCTCGCCTCCTATAAACCATCTCGAAAATTGTCATGCCCTTGAGAGCACAAGCACGCCAGGGTTTGCCTCTCCTCCAGCACGTAACCTTACTTCCAGCCTGAAGTCGTCGCCTTCTTGCCCTATTTTCCTGAGAAACTTTGTTAATGTTCCCAGAGAATATCTTAAGGTCGAGTTTTATTCTGTATTCTTGAATGAGAGGTCTAGTAAGCAAAAATGATGAGATGAGTCTGCATGTCTTGAAGCAAAGTGCCGAGTGTCTTGAGGCAGAGTGCAGAGCGTCATAGAGCAGAGTGCTAAGTGTCTTGGAGCAGAGTGCCAAGTGTCTTGAGATAGAGTACGAGAACAGCTGAATTCCGTCTCGGGTGCTGAGTGTAGAGTGAGAGCTTAAAGCTCGTCTCCTTTAAGTCTCTGGTAAAAATGCCTGACTTGTGAAGAAAAAACCTTAGTGAAACTTATACTAAACTGATATCTAGGAATCAGGAGAGAGTGTTCAATTATCACTGTGTGTGTGTGTGTGTGTGTGTGTGGTGTGTGAATCTAGTATATGTAATCTTATTGTTGACGTACTGTATATTAGTGTTGTCTAGAATACCTTCAAATGATGTAAAAACTTCATTTAAACAGTCGTGGTAAGACCCCATATAGGTTTAGCGTTTCCCCACCAATATAAAAATAATTCATTTACAGATAATATTACCCAAGAGGTACATAACATTACACCGTACTCTCGCTCCTCTTTATCCTCTGCTCCCACTCACCAAGAGCTCCTAGGATAGCCGCCGACCAGAAAACCTCTCCACACAGCGCTGGCAGGAAGAGTAACCCTCCCATGCGCTCCCCGAACTTGTCCTGCAGTGGGTCCAACATGGTAACGTAACCTTGCGACCGCATTTTGTTGGCAAACAGCACACCACCTGTGAGAGAGAGAGAGGAGAGAGAGAGGAAGAACGCTAACGTCATTATCAAGACTAGTGGTTGTTGGAGCAACGTTGGTAAAAAGCAGTGGAACACTAGCATAGTAATAGTAGTGACTGGAGTATAGGTTGTGGTAGCAACAACAACAGTGGTATCAACAGTAATAGTAGCGACGGTAATAGAAATATCAGCAATGTAGTGACCTGCAGTAATAGCAATAGCTATTATATTAACAACAGTGTCAGCAGTAGTAGTAGTGCTATTAGTAGTAATGTTAGTGATATTAGTGCAATAGCATCAGAGCAGTAATCCGTTATGCTTTGCATCTCTGAACAAAGTCAGGAACTCACCGAAGATGAGGGAGAGGGCGTATCCGAAGGGTGCCTGGCACCACACCAGCCCTGTATCGTACACAGCCTCGGCCGTCCCGTTGATGTAGCCGCCTCCTACCCACGTTGCTGGCGAGGTAGGCAAGAGGCTTATAGTAGCGAAATAAAAAGACACGGGTAAGGCGCAGGCTTAAATTAGAGATTCGATGCAAACTCCATGAAGAAGATAGAAGGGAAAGGCTCAAAGACGACATTCAAAAGATGAGTCTTTGGACACTATAAGAGAACAGATTCTAGACTCCAGAGAAAGTCTTTGAGGTCAGTTTGGAAGGGTAGAGATAAAGGCTTAAATATCACCACGGACAGGTTCCAGGAGAGAGCAGAACACAGAGGATGGAAAGACGAGGAAGCATGATTTTTCATTGTATGTTAACCTCTAGTTAGTTGCTATCCGGGAATGTCTTCCGAAGCTTACAAAAGTCTCTAATAAGTTGTTGGAAGAATCTTGCATCTTGACAGTGAATTTGAGGTTTCTTTGATAAAGAAATATTCTACCAGAGACCTTATTAGAAAACAAACATTGAACAATCTAAACCACATGGCACTGTCAAATTGGTAATCAGAGAAATGTAAAGAGAATCCTAATTTACAAAATTAACCTTGGCTAGTCCAGCATCCAGACACTCACCCGTCATTGTGAAGATACCCACGAAGACTCCTATACTCCTCCCCGCTAACATAACATCATCGGCATCGTCTTCTCCTTCCGGCTTTTTCTTGGCTGCCCAGATCCCCACCGCCAGAATGAGCAGGTAAAAGAGGATGATGGCTATGACTCCTCCGACGTTGATAGCCATTGTTAAGGTTTTGACGGTACTACGAGTGCAAAGGTACAGATCCCTACTGGACTATAACGTTCTTTATTTTTTTACACAGAATGTTGACGTGATGATGGTGGAGTTTAATATATATGTATATACGATTATACTGAGGTTTGAGGTACTGTAGTAGTGATGTTAGGGGGAAATATATGGTCTCTGGGAGGGGGTTCTATATTAAGGAAGTGGGTGTGGGCGTCCTTGTGGGATGGTCCGTTGAGAGCGTCGTCTGCGTAGCAGGAGTCACCTGTGGGAGACAGAAAATATGATGTCAGTACTGCCGAGTATTGTCTGATTTAAAAAGAAGTGTCCTGCAAATCATGAAAAATTAGAGAATGGCAGTCATATTTTTATACTTATAAAAAGCAGCAAGAATCTCCCCCAAGAATATACATTGTTGAGAAAATGAATACACCAATATATATAAACATTTACTGTACGTCACGTCTTTGTCCGTCTTACCCACATAATCCCTTCCAGTTCAATTGTCTTTGTGCCATACTTTCTATTCATATTCCTTTTCCTACCCTTATAACATACTCCAAACCCCTTTCCATCCCTCCCTTCTCCCGTCCCTTCCCCGTCCCTTCCCCGTCTTTCCCCGTCCCTTCCCCGTCTTTCCCCGTCCCTTCTCGGCAGCTCACCCATGGTAGGGATAAAGTATGGAGTATTTTTTTCCCTGGGCCCCGTAAGTTCTGGGACTAGACAAACATTGCCTCACAATGGATTTTTCTCCATGCCCTGAACTACAATGTTTCCCTAGTTCCAAGCTGATAGTTTTTCTTTATTTCAAGCTGCAGTGTTTCCCATGTCTCAAGCTGCAGTGTCTCCCATGTCTCAAGCTGCAGTGTCTCCCATGTCTCAAGCTGCAGTGTCTCCCATATCTCAAGCTGCAATATCTCCCATGTCTCAAGCTGCAGTATCACCCGTGTTTCAACCTGCAGAGTCTCTCATGTCTCAAGCTGCAGTGTCAACCATGTTTAAGCTGTTCTTTTCCCTTCTCTGCTGAAGTGTCTCCTCCAATCTGAAGCGTTTCCCTTGTATTTGTGTGTGTGTGTGTGTATTTGTATGTATGTGCATGTGTATGCATGTATGTGTGTGTGTATGAGTGTGTGTGTGTGTGTGTGTGTGTGTGTGTGTGTGTGTGTGTGTGTGTGTGTGTGTGTGTGTGTGTGTGTGTGTGTGTGTTGTAGTTATTTTGTCATCAGTGTAGCGTGTCTGCGTGACAGTTCAACTCTATAAAGGACATTATTTGATAATGCACCTGATTTGCGAGTATTTAGAATCTCGCGTGACTCAGACTCCTACGACTTTCTTCTTGTAATGTGTATTTTGTTTCATGCATGTTACCAGACACTGAGAAATTCTGTTCTCACTGACTCCATCCTCACTACTGAGTCTGTCCTGGTGTTGGTGTTCTCTTGTGCTCAGTAGCAACTCTTGCCTTTTTGAGGTCAGACATACACTGTATGTCGTATTTAATTGTATCTTATTCTTTCCCATTCTCCCTAACGTCCCATGCTACTGAGTGCTCCGCGTCTCTCTCAGCTTCTAGATTCTCTCTCTCTCTTCCCAGTTGCTAGGTGTCCCTTGTCTCCTCACGGCTGCTAGGTGCTCCCTGAGGTGCAATTGCTCCATAAAGCCTAAAAGCCTCCTAAAGTCCAGGGGCATGTGTGGGGAGCTTAAGAGAGCTCCAGAGGTGATCAGCTGCCTCCACAGAGGTCAACCTCCTCTCCTAACCTTCTCCCCTCATCATGCCTTCTCCCTCCCCTCACTCAAACCTCACTGTTATCTACTAATGTATACAAGTAGTAATATGTATTTTGTCTCCCAGATTCCTCATCTCGTTCCCTCTTTCCTCTATCTCATATGTATAATTTTTCTCTTGTTCTCGTTCCGGGATGATGGAGATTTCTTTATAAAGATCCCATCTCTCCTATACACGGGATAGTAATAGTAACTCCAGCTATGCTGGAAGGAAACCTTTGAAGCTCCCGTAGCTGATAAATCCTTACTGGAACCCCTTACTGAACTGCCCTACTGAAGTCTCATTGCTCAGGCTGACATATTTCAACACCTTGTGTGAGCCCCATCCTGCGTGACGGAATATAACAAAGGAAAAATAGCTAGCTTTTATTCCCACTGTGTAATTATCATATAGAATACGGTGATATCACACTGCTGACGTATTCTGTTTTTTGTAAAAATTAAACAGCCTCGCCTCATCCTTCCCTCTTCTGAACTCCAGCATCACCCTCCCACAACCCTAACCTCGCCTTCCTCTCCACCCTGATATGATCCTCCTTTAGCTTCTCCTTCCCCTTTTATTCCTCCTACTTTACCATCCCCCTCACCTGTGTCCAGTGGAGTCTGATAAAGGCCCATTGTGACCTTTGTAATCCTATTTTGCGTCAACGCTCACAGAATAAGCAAGAGTGCACAGTAAACTAACCGCTCAAGTAACAACTAGTAAGGAACGGTGATCAATGTATTGTTTACCAATGACCTGTCTTTAATGCAGGAGTCTTCACTGTTAATATTGCAACATTTCTGCACATCAACACACCTGAGAGGATACGGGTTCATTCCCGAGACGGGGCGAGACGTCTGGGCGAGTTTTATGACCATAATTTTCAATGGTGTGGACTGGTAAGCCAGAAGAAGGCCTCGGTCAGATGACCAAAATCTCCAACGGCGGGTCATCATCTAAGACCGGAGTCAGGAAACACTTGTCCTGTTTCCTGACGCGGGTCTTAGATGATGACCCTAGGATAAGACCTAAAGACCCAACCCAACAAGAAAAATAAGAGATGATCTAGAAGGAAAATAATATACTAGAATTAAAACACCTGTTGAATAATTAGAAACATCTGCAACATTTCGCCAGCCATTGGCTTTATCAATACAATACATGGACAGAAACGGAAGACTGAAGAAGAGGTAATTAGTCCCTGAGCCCAGCAACAGGTGTTCAGTAGTCTTGATGAATCACCTCCTGCTAGGCTGAGGGACTGATTACCTTATCTTTTACGTCTTCTTCAGTCTTCTGTACTGTATTGATCAGGCCACTGGTTGCCGCAGCGTTTACATAATATAGATATCCAAATATTGGACATGTTTCGAGACCTTCAACTTATTTGAACAGTGTACTATTGACATTTCGGTGAAAACATGTTCACTGTGAGGAATGACTGAGGCTCTGTCCTCCCATGTAATCCCGTATCTAGCAGCAGAAGAGGAGTTCAATAGGGTAAATCTAACTGGGAAATACCTGACGAGATTGTGTTGTAAAATGAAGGTGTTGTTGGGAGCGGCGAAGCTGGTCCAGGGAGCTCACCGTCTAGGCTCGTTACCTGCCTAACATACCTTGACTTAACCTCCGGCTGCCATGACATTGTTAATTGAAGACTCCCCTTACACGGCACGATAGAAGCCACTGTGCCAGCTATCTCTCTCTCTCTCTCTCTCTCTCTCTCTCTCTCTCTCTCTCTCTCTCTCTCTCTCTCTCTCTCTCTCTCTCTGAGCTCATTAAACTCCGACACATAATAACCTATGTGACATGTCAAGATATACTAAGCAAATTTCCTAAATTTGCTTGTAATAGATAAGTGAACTGTAGATATGTAGATATAAATCCATATGTATTCCTGTTAACCCTTTGGGGCCTAGTTCCTAGGCCTTTTGTGTATCCATATGCTCTTGCGCTACCGTCCACAGGATGGATATGAGGTGCACAATAAGCTAGCCACTTCGGTAGCAAAATCTAAATCCGTGACAAGATTTTTTTTTCCCCATTTCCAGCCGGCATTAAGATCACATCCACGGCCGCCCCCCTACCCCCCCCCCCCCACGCCTGCCAGCACCCGCATTAGAGCCAGGATAAATGTCCTCTTGTTCGCATTGGCGGGTGCCACAGCGTGAGTAAGTGCCAATTGTGTGCCGAGCGTGCCAATTCTCCATTACCCAGCTAGCCATTGGTGTGGTTATTTCTGAACGCTGCTGAATAATGTATAGTGGATCCGTTTGGAGTAATGTTCTACGGCGATATTTTCCTAGTGTTGTGAAAAGTTTATCTTTTTATCCCTTACGTAACTTGTATAGAAGAGGTGAAGAGAGTTGTCCTTGAGCGAAGTGAGAAAAAAAGTAAGGGAACAGAGTTGTCTTGGGGCGGGGTGAGAGAGAAGGGGAAAACAGAGTTGTCTTGTAGCAGAGAAGTGAAGAATGAGGGCGCAGGGTGGTTGTGGCGCTGCGTGAGATGTTCAGGGTGGTAAGGGAGAAAGGGATCAGGGCTGGTGTGAAGTGTAGGAATGTGGAGGTTCCACTCAAGTGGTCAGTCCCACAAGTTATTAAGCTCGTAGGATTAATAACTTGTAGATTAATAACTCGTAGGATTAATATATCCTGTGTATGGGATAGGCTATCCTGAGAGATGGTGATTCCCAAGTGATAGTAACTCCAGCTCTGCTTGGAAGGAAACCTCTGAAGCTGCCGTAGCTGATGAACCTTTAAGAATATTAGAACATAAGAATGGAGGAACACTGCAGAAGGAATAATGGAATACTTGACGATATCCTCATTGTTCCACTCAAGTCTCCCAGCTCAGGCTGATGCTACTCAAGTCTCCCAGCTCAGGCTGACGCTACTCGAGTCTCCCAGCTCAGACTGACGCTACTCAAGTCTCCCAGCTCAGGCTGACGCTACTCGAGTCTCCCAGCTCAGGCTGACGCTACTCAAGTCTCCCAGCTCAGGCTGACGCTACTCAAGTCTCCCAGCTCAGGCTGATGCTACTCAAGTCTCCCAGCTCAGGCTGACGCTACTCGAGTCTCCCAGCTCAGGCTGATGCTACTCAAGTCTCCCAGCTCAGGCTGACGCTACTCAAGTCTCCCAGCTCAGGCTGACGCTACTCGAGTCTCCCAGCTCAGGCTGACGCTACTCAAGTCTCCCAGCTCAGGCTGACGCTACTCAAGTCTCCCAGCTCAGGCTGACGCTACTCAAGTCTCCCAGCTCAGGCTGATGCTACTCAAGTCTCCCAGCTCAGGCTGATGCTACTCAAGTCTCCCAGCTCAGGCTGATGCTACTCAAGTCTCCCAGCTCAGGCTGACGCTACTCAAGTCTCCCAGCTCAGGCTGACGCTACTCAAGTCTCCCAGCTCAGCTGACGCTACTCAAGTCTCCCAGCTCAGGCTGACGCTACTCAAGTCTCCCAGCTCAGGCTGACGCTACTCAAGTCTCCCAGCTCAGACTGACG